TCCTGTTCTCTTCAGTCTTATTTAGTTGCCTCCACGACTCCTCTAAATGTCAAACAGTCAATTTCACCTTTAGGTATAAATCTGACCTAAACAAACTGGTGGTTAGCACTCACGAGGTGTGCCACATAGATGGCACTGAAATAGTGACCAAGTCGGAAATGGAATATCTTGGCATCATTCTATCTGCTGATCTTTCCTGGTCGTCTCATATCTTGATGCTTTCTAACGATTCGTTAACTCTTGCATCCTGCCTATTATTGTCTATTGTTCCCCGTTAGTTTTTCCAGGGCTACTGAAGAAGGACTATATCTTATTATGTAGGGTGTTAAAGGTTGTCAGTAGGGTAAGCAATGTGTCATTTGACCAGCTTGTTGTTAATATTCTGGTTGATAGGCACTTGGACTTACGTGAAGAATGGGCTAAATCCATTTTATCTAACTCACACCACCCTCTACATTCACAACCCTACGGTTGTATCTCATCAGGCAAAACCAGAAGCTTATATAGAATATTATATGCTGGCACTAGGAAGTACAAAAATTCAGTTAAACCCTACTTGGCTCGTGTTCTGTGCTGTAAAGAAAGCATTAGGCGTGACACCTATAATTCATTAAGTAGTCAGTAGAACAACTGGATCTCCTCTTTCCAACTCATATCATTTATGGGTACAACATTTTTCTTTCTTTCTTTTCCTTTTGTCTCTCTCTCTTTTTTCCGTTATGTGCTGCTTTGTTTTTTTCTTCCGCTTACGCCAGTAAATATGCTAGTATTTACTTTTCTAACACCTTCAAACATTCTGTTCACTTTACCTTTGCTACCGACATGCCAATATGTTGTTGTCATAATGAACTGAGATTACCCTTAATCTATGTAGAATCCTATTTATTAATAATGTATTAACTGGATGCAATACTGTAGTAAAAATGCTGAGAATTCCATTCTGTATCACAAGTACTGTTTTGGAATAAAGCAGATTATTATTATTACTATTATTATAAGCTGTAATCTCCTCCTCCAAGTCGCCCTTAGACACTCACCAAACACTCATCCTTTTCCATTGGGATTCCACTCGAAGTCCTGATTCGTCTCTATTTTCTCTGTCGAATATTTGTTGAGTAATAGGTGCGTCAGTGGCATAACGGTTAGGACGCTCACCGACCATGCACATGGTCCGGGGTTCGATCCCCGGCCACTGATGCACTCCTTTACCTCGCTAAGCCAGAAATAATGCTGGTGAAGAGGAAAGGTTGGGCATGAGGCTAGCGACCCCATCTTGTAAAATAAACACTGCTACAGAAACTTCAAGCCACTAGCTTGAAGCCCTATATTCCAGTGGGGAACGTGAAGGAAAAAAATAGGTTCTTGGTCGATTTGTTCCCAGGGTTTCCTATTTTAACTTGGTTATACTGAAACTTTGTAATCTGAAGTATGTATATTGCCTTATCTCATCTCAGTTTCTCTTGTTTGACTAGTGGTGTTGTCTCATTGGAAAGCATTACCTTAATATAACTTTTGTGTAAAGATTAGAATGATGATTAATAGTGTATTTATTAAAGTCCCTTTTTAAGAGCAATCTAATGCGCTTTATCAGTGAATTTGTTTATTCATTGAAACTCCTGTGAATGATGATGGGAGTGGTAGTGGTGGTGATAAGAGATTATATTGAAAGCAGTCGTTTATCGTAACTTTTAGTTCTAATGACAATCTAATCTTAATCTAGTACGAGTCCTCTCGGGAAATATAGCTGCCCCCTCCTCTTGGTTTGGAAATTGATGACCATATAATTTAAACTATAAGTGCCAATGGTTGTGAACAGATCCTGCCTATTCAGGTAGATTGTTACCTGGGGTTCTAGTAGGAAATCGTGACCATTAGGGGGTACAACAGATCGGGTGCGAGGACAGATACTCGCTGATGTCGTTGGCCAGTGGTTGCGCTATGTCGTGAATTGGCAGAAGTTGGAATCCATGCACTGTCCATTGGATCGGATCCCATTAGCCTGAATGGTCTGGGAGCGCTCACCTTGTAACCGGGAGGTTCTGGGTTCGAACCCTGATGACGAATCCCAAGCACTAGGACGAAACTTGAAATACTCTTTTATTTGTTTTATTTTGTTGTTGTTAGAATTAATTATTATTATTCTAACGTTTTCATTGCCTTTTTTGCCACAGTAATATTTGATCTTATGTTTTACTTTCTCCTTTCTTCTGTGTTAGTTAGCTGAATCCATTCCCCCACCTGCATTAAATCAGTGGAGGTTAATTTTTTTTCTCTTGTTGTTGCTATCGATATAACTTTTGTTAGATAAATCTAATTATTTATTATTTTTTGTTTTGTTTACCCAACATAATAATTTCAACGTGTTCTCGCTGACTAATTTGTTTGATAGTGTAGTTTTTATCCTTCATACTAGAAGAAAAACAAGGGGGCGGGGGAGAAATATTGCTCACTAGATGATGCTGTTTCCACGTACACATTAGTGTTTCTGATTACCTGTAATTAACGCCTAATTAATTAATTAATTATCTGTTGACAGTTTTAGTGTATCACACCACACACACCGTTTTTATAGGTGGTAGTGTACACATGGTGGTTTGGTTTAGCCCAGGTGTGTTTGTGTTTGCGTGTTGAATAATATCCCCCTAACACCACTTTTCTTGTCAAATAACAAACACTTGCTTACCTTTTATTGTTTTCAAGAGATAAAGTGCTGTTTAAGTTAATAATTCCTCGATCCTCCCCCGTTACCCTCCTCGAATCTATACTGCTCGTTATATTCCCCTCCCCCTCCCCTCGTGCTCACGTGAAATGTTTTCGTGCTTTACTTAACCAACATACGTACCTGCTTAAATTCTTGCACACATTAACATAGGCGACAGCTTATTATTTAACTTGGTTTTTGTAGTGGCTAAAATCTAATCTCTTTGTTAGTCTCCTAATTAACATTGTTATCATCATCATTATCCTCACAAGGATTGTTCCCATAGTGTTATTGATTTTAAACCAACAAACACAAATGGGGAATGTGAATGGTAGTCGTTTCCATCAGATAGGCGATCCTTATTTTACATTGACGATATCGTCACCAACATCATCATCGTCATCATCATCATCACAGTCGCTATCGACATTGACATCCTCCTCCTGCTCCGCCTCCTCCTCCAGTACATCATTACAATCTTTCAATTCGTTAACTGCTAATCTCATCACAAAACCATCATATATGCAAAGGTGAGTAATTTGACTTGACTTGGCTTGGCTTTGGCTCCTCCATTCAAGTGTAGTAGTAGTAGTGTGGTGAGAGCTGTCTACTAGCCAAATTGGTAGACAGTAATTTACATCAATATTTACGTTCTCAAGGTTTGTCGTGAGAAAATGTGAACAAAGATTGATTCAAAACCGACCACAGCAGACTTTGCGTAGGCGGATACAGTGAACATATAGATGATGTGACATTCAAGAAACAGTCACAAATAGATGAATGATTAACTTTAAGTGAGAAACAACCAATGGGAAGACTGTGTTTGTTTGCTTATTATTATTATTATTGTTCCCTTGGGTTCCTAGTGGAACATAGGGCTTCAACTGCACGTCTCCACTTGCTTCTGTCTTCTGCTGTACTTTTCACTTGTATCCATGTTAATCCATACTGTTTCAGTTCCTGTTCACACGATCTCTTCCATGTCACCCTTGGACGTCCCACTCGCCGCTTCCCTTTCGGGTTCCACTCGAGCAATGGCCTGACGCGCGATGTCACCCGGCGGTCTCCTTAGCGAGTATCCAATCCATCTCCACTTTCTCCCGCATATTTGTTGGGCAGTTGGTTATTGTTTTGTTTGTTCCCATAGTTTCTTGTTGGTTCTTGTTCTTTCCGGCCATCTGATCTTCAGTAAAGAGCCAGCGAAGACAGTTACTTGTTGATAAAGGTGTGCAACAGGTTGTTGGAAATATTCTTTGTGACACACTGGCCAAGTTTCTGATCCGTATAGAAGAACTGACTGACTTGACGTCGTTTGTATTGAAAATCCGAATTTTGTTGTTGATGGTGAGTTGAGTGATGAAGATTTCCAGAATGGTTTCAGATTGATGAATGTGTTTCTCGCCTTTCCGATTCTCGATTTGACATCCTCGTCCGTTCGTTCTGCTGTAGTTGAGACAATGCTCCCCAGATAAGTAAGTGAATGAAGTAACCTCTTTCAAATCCCTCCCGTAGATGCTGATTGGCGCTGTATGTTGCTGCTGCTGTTGTTGTTGTTGGTTGGTTGGTTATTTTCATAACCTCCGTCTTGTCTGTGTTCACCTGGAGTCCTGTCTTTGCTGCTTCTTCAACCAGTTTGTCGGTTTTCGCTTGTAAGTCTTCGATATACATGAAGATATATAAATATGCTTTGATTTCCTTAATAAACCATCTGTTGCCTGGCCCTTGTCTTCTGTTGTTACAGTAGTAGTAGTATTAGCTAGTACTCATTATTATATTTCGTATATTCATTGTATGGTATTCAAAATAAGTGAGAGAGTGGTGAAAATGGGAATGAATTAATTAGTAATTCTTCTCTTTTTCTCGTAAACACTCCCAGATTCGAGCGCTACCCCACATAGATCACACAGTGAGTGAGTGGTGGCTTTAACAACACTGTTTTCTGCGTTGACGATTCCCGGTGGGGGGGGGGTAGAATATACTCGTCAACCACGAATATGGCCCGGGGCGTCAGTTACCCCCCCTGCTCTACTCGATTTATACTTTAACGTCGCTTAGCTTGGGTGGTAATCCTGGTAAGATGGAGGGGAAAGTTGGGCATTAAACTTCAAAGCTGAAGCTTGAAGCTCTTGGTAATTTCGTGACTGAAAATCCAACTTTAATTGCTGATTAGTGTATCACTGGTAGTCTCTATTTCAGTGTTTAATTTTCGAAAAAAAAATATTTTTCACTTATTTTTGTGCTATTTTCCTATATATGTATGTATATATTATTTCGGTTAATTTACATTTTTATAACACAGTCAATCTACCCTTGACGTGGTTGCTCACAATGCATCTGAATGTATTGAAATGTCGACCACAACCGTCCCACTCTCTCCATCATCAGTCAATGGAATTATTCATGAAGATGGTGGCAAAATTCCAGCTGTGCTAACAACAACAACTGACAATAATCATGATGACGATTACAATAGAATGGTAGTGTCATTATCATCAGTATCAGTTACACCGCCAGCGTATACGCCCGAGGTGAAAACTACTACTAGCCTGCTTCAAATTGCCGCTGAACATCGACGGCGAGAAGAAGTAGTTGATCGTATTACCAGTGAGCTATTGATGCAATTGGTCTCTGAAGCGATACGTTCTACTCTGAATGTTAGAATGTCGAATGCTGAGGTAAATAACCTTTCACCTTTTTCTTTTCTTTTTTGTATCCTTTTGTAAAGAGTTTTGTTTTCTTCTTTATCGACGAAATCATCCTCAGAGTTGGCTGTACAATCGTATTTATACTTACAAAAATGTATAGTAGTCTATTATTGAGTGATAGGGAGTAGCAGAATTGATACAATTAATCGGAGGTGGCTTTAGAAGTGAAAGTTAAAAGTTGTAAATTACGCGGTACTCAATGGCACAAAGATAGAAATTCGATAAGGTTAAAACTGCTATTGAGTGAGAATATAGGTATTTGAGTGTCAGTTTAACAAGTGTTAAGAGAATGTGAAAATCTACAAAAGGAGCATATGAGAGTGATAATAGTGAATTAACTATTATTAAAGTAAAAGCAAACTAAAAGTAAAATTAAAAATTCAAAAAAGAAAAAAATCAAATTTTTTTTTCAAGGGGACGACTAATGAAAAGATTAAGACCAAGGTAGAATAAGAGACTGGACAAACTTTTCCGGTATACAGGGTTCGGGGTTGTATTGACGACTTCCGTGTAACTCTATCAATTATGTCACTCTCTATTACTCAATAATAGGCCACTATACATTTTTTGACAAGTATAAATACGACTGTACAGCCAACTCTGAAGATGATTTCGTCGATAAAGAAAATTTTCTTCGCTGAATTTGTCTTTTAGTTTTTTTGCTGTTGTTGGTATTATTGGGATTTTTGACTTTTCGACTGTTGTGTAGTATAGCAAAAATGTTGATTCAGATATCTATAAAACACAAAATAATCGAGCAAAGAATATCCTTTTCGATAAATTTCTATTCTGGCTCTACAGTTATATATGCATGTTTATATACATAGAATATTCTTGAGTAGTAGCCAATAACAATATTGGTGTTTTTTTAAATGATATCGATTTGTAAAGTATGGTCACAATGGAATTACAGTTCATTAAAGATGCTTAAATTATAATAACAATAATAATAATAACAATAATAAAGATATAATAGCAAATACAATGTCAACTAAAATTAGGGAAATTTTCACAATAAATTGAGGACCATTCAAACCTGGATGGCCAAGGTAAGGAAAATGACTGAACTAACTTCTTTTGGGTGCATAAATTAGGCTTGTTAATATGGATGCCAACAGCCAGTCTCAGCAATATTTAGTAGTCGAACTGTTAAGGTGAAGCTGAGATTTGTTGGTATGCGGCAAATGACTCTGAAAGCTGCCTGGTTAACATCAATCTTGTGTTCTGTATCCATAAAACTGATGTCAAGTAAACGACAAACAAAATCTATTCGCAGCGCTATTCTATCCCAGTTTGTGGATGCAGAACACAGGATTGATGTCAACGAGGCGGCTTTCAAAGTCATCCACCGCATAGCGACAAATCTTAACTTCGCCTTGAGAGTTCGATTACTAAATATTGCTGAGATTGGCTGTGGGGATCCATACTAATAAGCCTAATTTATGCACCCAAAAGAAGTTAGTTCAGTCATTATCCTTACCTTGGCCATCTAGGTTCGAATGGTCCTCAATTTATTGTCGAAATTTCCCTAATTTTAGTTGATGTTCTATTTGCTATTATATCTTTATTATTATTATAATTTAAGCATCTTTAATGAACTGTAATAGCAGTGATCATACTTTACAAATCGATATTATTTAAAAAGCACACTAATATTGTTATTTACTACTAATCTAGAATATTCCATGCATTTAAACATATATGCATATAATTGTAGAGCGAGAAGAGAAAATTATCGCAAAGGATATACTTTGCTCAATCATTTTATGTTGTTTAGAGTAGTCTGTGGTGTCATTTGTTTCTTTTCAAAATGTGTTTCTCACCATTCCTAGACAGAACGATAATACCTGTGTTGTACATAAGGGTTGTCTTTATAAGGGTTTGTTTGCATCCTGGTTCATCATCTATTGTGAAGAAGTATTACATAACAGATGTGCTTCGTAACCGAGTAGTATGCGGTGTTTTCGCAATCAGCATCACTTAGACATTGTCAAGTTGGAAATAAAATAATAGCGCTAAACACCAACTTGTACATATTTTCTTTTTTGGTCAGTTCAGTTTTTCTATGGAATACAAGTGAAGACTCTAAATAGGCATTGTAGAACTGCGCTTACATTCTGTAAAAGCAGGACTAAGAAGGGAAACAGAAGTATGAAGACATTACATTAGGTCTCCAGTGGCTGGATGCTCTACAAGCTTGCCTGGGTTCAAGTCCGGATGGGTGCGTACTTCTGGTGACTACCAGTTATCTCCTGGCTTTGTTTGCGTCTGTAGGTCAGAGGCAGAAGGCTCGTCAATCATGCCTCATGTGGTCCGTGGGGTTCGATCACCGGCTCATTCACTCCCAAACTCTGCCAATCTGGTGATAGGATCGGTAAAGAGGAAGGTTCGGTTAGGTGTGAGTCTATCTACCCGATCCAGTGAAAAAAATGACACTCTGATGGTGGTACCGAAACTTCAAAATTGGGGTTTGAAGCTTTATGTTCCACTTGGAACGTAAAAGAATAAAATGTATTGCGTAAAGGTCTGTAGCATATAAGAACAGTAATCTTGGAAAAATTTGTGGCGATATTCAGCATTTCGACTTTGAATTATTTCACTAAGAGTCTCCAAACACTGACACTCAACACACTGAGGATCATTAACAATAAACCTACAATTCATCGCCGCCCCCAGTATGCGTCAAATCAGTATTGAATATCTCAATATCCCCCCTAACTCTTTGCGCATGTAATCCAACAGTCATCATGTCAGCGAAAATATCCATTGAGTCATGAAGAAAATAAATAAAAGACAAATTCAGCGAAGAAAATTTTCTTTATCGACGAAATCATCTTCAGAATCGGCTGTACAGTCGTATTTATACTTACCCAAGAAACATATAGTGGTCTATTATTGAATGATGGGGGTGGCAAAATTGATATAATTACTCAGAAGTGGCTTTAGAAGTGAAAATTAAAAGTTGTAAATTACGTGGTACTCAATGGCACAAAGATAGAAATTAGATAAGGTTAAAAATGCTATTAAGTGAGATCATCTACAAGGTCAAGCCAAATGGTACAAAGGGCATCATGTTTCGGCTTTTGTGTATGGCGGAGGCGCTGACAATTTGTCAATACAACCTCGAACTCTGCATACAGAAAAAGTTTTTCCAGTCTCTTATTCTACCTTGGTCTTAATCTTTTCATCAGTCGTTCCCTGTAAAAAGTTTTACCTTTAGTTTGCTTTTACTTTAATAATTAATTCACTATTATCACTCATATGTTCCTTTTGTACATTTTCACACCCTCTTCACATTTGTTAAATTGGCACTCAACTACCTTTATTCTGACTCAATAGCGATGTTAACCCTATCAAATTTCTATCTTTGTGCTGTTGGGTACTACGTAATTTACAACCTTTATGTTTACTTTTAAAGTCACTTCCGAGTAATTATATCAATTATATCACCTTCCCCATATTACTCAATAATAGACCAATATATATTTTTTGGTAAGTATAAATACGGCTGTACAGTCATCATGTTCGAGTTTTTTTTTTGTTAGCCTTTCCAGTATAATTTTTAGTTGATAAAAACATACAGTGGTCAAAGGTGATGCATCTAATTTTAGTTAGACGATATTTGTTCTTTAAGAAACATCACGTCATGTTATTCTCTACATCGAAATGCTGTGTCGCATAATTATGCGCGTAGAATATTGAGGGATACGATTAACTAAAAGCAAATTAAATATCCGTCTTTATTTTTGACTGATACACTGATCGTTTCCAACACAGAACTTTGCATAGAAGCAGCAGTCTCTGGCGTAGACGTGACATCCGGCTATCAACCAAGTGACGTGTGTACTGCTCAGCAGTTCGCTCCGTCCTTCTCTATGGTGGTGAGACGTGGCCATTGAGAGCGGAAGACATGAAAAGGTTGACTGTTTTTGACCACAGATGTTTACGATCTCTTTCTCACGTTAGGTGGTACAATAAAGTAGGTAATGTTGACGTTAGGCTTAGAGTGTTGGGCAAAGAGGGAAAATCAATTGAAGAGGCTATGAAGTTACATAGATTGATATGGCTAGGTCACGTGCTGCGCATGCCTAACCATCGCCTCCCCCGACGGACGGGCATTACTAGCTGATATAGGTGCAGGTTGGGAAAGAGTAAGTGGTGCCATGCCAAACAAAAACATGGCCTCATCAATCCATGAAATCCTTGACAGTTAAACTGAGTCAGGTAAGGAGGGAAATGCAGACCTCCGGGTTGGGGTCCTCGGGACTCTAAGAATCAATGAAGGCTGGAGACACTAGGTGACATGGCTCAAAATCGTTGTCAATGGCTTACGCAGATGTATTCAGTCTCTGTAATCTTTCATATTCCCTTCTACCATTACTCATTCTGTTTCACTCTTATACTTGTCAAAACTCTATTGATTCTCTTCACTCATCTTCTTGTCTACCTTTGTGTGGTATTTGGAAAGTGGCAACTCGAACTGGTGCACTTCGGTGCCAAGTTCTGTGTTGAATCCAGCCAACTAGCCAGCAGCAGTTTGAGTTTCCACTCTCCATGTATCACACAAAGCAAGAGAAGAGAGTAAAGAAAGATTCAAAGCAGAGATAATGAACTGAATTATGAGGCAAAAAGTTAAGTGGTATGGAAGAACAATAGAATTTTATTGGATATGATAAATCATCACAAAGTGTGAATATATCCGGGCTATTGAGAATGAGGGTTTTAAGCCATATTACCAGTTGTCTCCAGCCGTCATTGGTTTTTACCATCCCGATGACCCCAACCAACCAAGAAGTGTCTACACCTCCCTACGTGGTCGGCTTGAGCTAACTGTTCTGGTTTGACCAGCACTAGCTCTTTTCTAACCCTATCCTATGTCAGCTAACATCGTTTCTCGAGGAAGGCGATGGCTAGGCAGGCATGCATAACACATGTCCTAACCATCTCAATCGATGCAGCTGCTTCACAACCTCGTCTATTGATTTCCCCTCTTTACCCAACCCACCTTTGGTCGACACCCATTCGGATATCACGTCTAATAAGCCAGAGATGGTATAAGTTGGTATATGCTAAATGAGCCTTCTGTATCCGTGTTGAGATTTCGTCAGCGATCAACCTGCTGGCGTTGGCTGATGCAACTTCCCTAATAAGTGAAGTGGTCAACGCTACCAGCCACCACTTCACTCCCTATCTTTAAGCCAACTAGAGGTCGATGTAGTCCAGTCTTGTGGGAGCATCATCTTACATTTGACGGGAGCGAATCTCATCCCGAACATTCGAAGATTGCTGCTGCTCAAGGTCTTGAGAAGACTTTACTTTTTGTCAGCGTCTTCACTTAGGAAGGAGGACTATATATTATCTGCATATTGTAAGCCAACGAGATTATTCCCCAGTGGTAACAAGTCAATCTCTTAGTCGCTGAAGTCAGTTAGGGTTAGGCCCATTAGTAGTACATCTATGATGAAATTAAACGGAAATAGGGATAGTGGACCTCCCTGTTGGACACTACTTTTTGTCATCCTTTCAGGTGACAGACAACTCTCCGTAGGCTCTTACCTGGCTGCATGAGTTCAAGTAAAGTGAGTGCCTTGATCAGTGCGACATATTTTCTCAGCATTTCCCATATGGTCAAACACTGCCATAGTACCCCTCGGTCGACAGAATCGAATGTCGCTTTCAGCTCAAGAAATATGACAACTGTTGGACACCACTAAGCCTATGTCTATGCCGTCTTTATATTATTTATCTTGGTAGCCATTGCCATCGGTACAGCTTCCATCATAAAAATAATAATAATAGTAATAATAATAATAATAATAACAATAATAATAATAGTAATAATAATAACAATAATAATAATCGATTATTATATTATAAATTTGAATAGACGAAAACTTCAGATGATTCAGAAAGTGATAAAGAAAACAACATTGTGGAAGACGAATTCCCTCAACAGAAATCTCCAGTATTCAATGATGATGATGACGATGAAGAGTCTTCAGATGACGAAGAATCTGTCCGCCTACTAGACCTTGGTGTAAAGTTATCTGATGAAGATTTTGATGAGAAAATCTCTGAGGCAGCGAAATCTAAAATCCACGTCACACCAGAACCTTCATATAGCGAAGAAAGTGTCCAGGGATTGTTTGCTGATATCCCGGAAAGATCACAAGCATTAATTCAACTTGCTGTTAGACATTTTTGGGATTATCGATCCAATGCGGAGATGGGTTACAAAGAGGCTAGCCTGACAGAGGCTTTAAGTAATCCTCCTACAGAGTTTGGATTTGATTACTGTGATAAAATAGGTAGGCTGTTTTAAATTTTATTATGTGATTTCTTTTTTTAGTTTTAATTTATCCTCATTGTTGGAAATTCTATTTTTATCTGCAATGTCTTTTCATGCAGTAATGTGTGCCGCTGACTGATGTATTATTAATGTTCCCTTGGTTCCCGAGCGGAACAAGGGGCTTCAACAACACGTCTTGATTTTGTCCTCGTCAACTGGCTTGAATATTGCCTATAAGATTTCATTTCTCCACATGATCTCGGACCTATGACCAGACCGCCGTTTCCCATTTAGGTTCCACTCCCAACGATGACGTGGCGCACGATATCACTCGACGATCTCCTCAGCGTGTGTCTAGTCCATTTCCATTTTCTTCAGAATATTTTTTGACCACAGTAGCCTCTCGATTTGTTCTCTTCCCAGTGTTTCTTATTTCTAATTCTTGCTGGCAGATCATCTTATCTTCAGTATGTGGAGCCAGCGAAGACAGGTGCTGATAAAAGTCTTCAGTAGTAACCTGCTGAAAGTGCTTTCCGTGATTCGCCAAGTTTCTGTCCCATATGAAATTGACTTGGTGTTTAAAATCGGGATTTTGTTGTTGATGCTCATTGCAGTATATTTCCAGATTGATGAATGTATGTGTGTGTGTGACTTGTCTTTCCAATTCTGCTTTTAACATCTGCTCATCCGTACTGTCGCCTGTAGTTGAAACGATGGTACCTGGTCAGATAAATGAAGGGAGTATAACGTCTTTGAAATGTCTCCCGTTGTTGTTGTTGGTGTTGTTGGTTAATTATCTTCATCACTTCTGTCTTTCATATGTTTAACTGAAGTCCTGTTTTTGGTGCTTCTGACAGCTTGTTGGTTTTCGCCTGTAAGTCTTCGAATTTGTGACATTATACATAAATTACCCGTGATCCACAACGGAAAACTCAGCGAGGCGTTTGAAGTGCATACAGAAGTAAGACAAGACTGTCCGCCTGTCTATTATCACCGATGATATTCTTAATTGTGATGGTGGACTGGATTATGCATGAGACGCTGGAGAACCGATAAGAAGACTCTGCAAGATCTGGATTTCGCGCGTGGATAATATCTGTCTAATGTCATACAAACTCGAAGACTTGCAAGCGAAAACCAACAAACTGGCTGAAGAAGCAGTCAGCGAAGACAGAACTGCAGGTGAACATAGAGAAGACGGAAGTGATGAAGATAAATAACGAACCGCAACAACAATCAGCACCAATCACCATCAACGGGATAGATTTAACAGAGGTCGCCTCCTTCACTTATCTGGCTAGGAAGCATCGTTTCAACGTCAGGCGGAACGGATAAAGATGTCAAAACCCGCCAGCCACAATCGGAAAGGCAAGATTACGCCTTCATCAACCTGAGACCAGTTTGGAAATCTTCCGCACTCAGCATAAGGAACAAGGTTCGCATTTTCAACACCGATACTGGTCAGAAACTTGGTCAGGGTGTCACGAAAACGATTTTCAACAGGTAGCAGACTTTCATCAACAGCTACCTTCGCTGTCTCCATACTGAAGATCAAATGGCCAGAAAGAATAAGTAACAAGAAACTCTGGCTGGCAAAAAACCAACAGGCGAGAGGAGATCGTTCAAAAAATATGTAGGGGAAAATGGAGATGGATCAGGCATACATTGAGGAGGCCGCCGAATGACATCGGACGCCAGGCCATTGCTCGAGTAAGAATCCGAATGGGAAGTGACGAGTGGGTCATCGATGTGGGTGTGTCATGGAGGAGATCGTTTTGGGAGGAAAAGATGAGAGTTTGCTCAATCGTAGACGCAGCTGAAGAGGACGGCAGAAAACAGAACGAAGTAGAGATGTGTTGTTGAAGCCAGCCCTATGTTCCACTCGGAATGCAAGGGAATAATAAGAATAACAATAATACCCGCGAAATCTATATCTTCTAGAGTCTCCTTATCAGTCCCCACGGACGGTATTCCGCAATTCTAGGAATATCATCGGTGGTAGTAGGCACACAGTTGTTCTGTTGAATTGTTTCAGCATGCTTTCATGTAACACTATATTTAAGGCTTGTACAGAATGAAAATGCTGAGGCCTGATGTCATTCACTTAATGCTTGTTTTGTACTGGTTAGCAGGTTCTGGCTAAACAAGTTTAACAATTGTTGCTTTTTTGACAACTTCATAGATTTTTCTTGGTCATTTTTTTTATTATAGCTTGAAACCACACTGTATTTTTGGTTCAGGTATGGAATTTTCAGCATGTGATATATCGGTAGCCCAAATTTTGCAGGCCGACCAATTGATGACAATGACAACAACAGACAACGATCAGCATAAATGGGAGGAACCTGAAAGAAACATCCTCTTTTACCTACCTGGGAAGCATCGTTTCAACTACAGGCGGACTGAACGGATGAGGATATCAAAGCAAGAATCGGAAAAGCAAGACAAGCTTTCACTACTCTCAAGTCTGTGTGGAGGTCAACAGCACTCACCATCAAAAATAAGATCCGGATTTTCAACTCCAATGTGAAGTCACTGCTACTGACTGTACGGATCAGAGACTTGCACCGCGCGTCATAGAGAGCATCTCAAACAAACTACAGACCTTCATTAACAGTTGTCTTCGCTCAATACTACTCAAGATCAGATGGCCAGAAAAGATCAGCAACAGGGAGGGATCTCTGGGAGCGAACCAGGCAGGAACCGATTGTGAAACAAATAGGCAAGAAGAAATGGAGATGGATTGGCCATACTCTGAGGAAACCATCAAGTGACATCACTAGACAAGCCATTGCTCGAGTGGAACCCGAAAGGGAAGCGGCGAGTTGGTCTTCAGTGCAAGGGTGACTTTGAGGAGGTCATGTGAAGAGGAGATGAAAGCATGTGGGCAGACTTGGAGTCAGGTGGAGACTCTAGTAGAGAACCGAACGCAATGGAGACGTGCAGCTGAAACCCTATGTTCCTCTTGGAATTAAAGGAAACAATAATAATAATAATACAGTACAGGATGAGGCGTGCATTCTTGATTCCACTTTCATATCTGACGGCTATCAGTCGTTTTATCCACGCTTACCATTTTTATCATTCATCGAGTGGTGGTGTATAGGTGCATTTTCTTTAAATATGCCCAGTTTGTTTTGATTATTGTTATTATTATTATTATCATCTTACTAATCTAGTGCATATATCTATCCACATTATTATGAAATTGTTTCCAATTTTTTCTTTCCTTTTTTATCTTCCAGATCTTGAAATATTTAAAACTAAATCTAACATTCGATTTATTAGTTCTACTCTACTATTCGATTTAATCGGTGAACTCTTGCAAAAAATCTATGCTGGTGAAGATAGCGAAGTAAGGCTATTACAAGTGAATGAACACGCACACAATGTTAATCATTTTCAGGCAAAGTCATCTACACATCGTGTTTCAAGTGCACAATTTCGACTTTGGCGTGGACCTTGTCGGTAAGTGTGTAGAATGATTCTCTCTCTGTGTGTGTCTCTTTAATGTAGCTTGATGGTTTAATTTCAGTTTACTTAAATATTTCTCAGTAAGTTAGTAGTTTTATGCCTTAAGCTCTTGTCATCGTATAACATGTCTGTCTGTCTGGCACCGAAGTGCAGCAGTTCGAGTTGCCACCTTCCAAATAGCACACAAACGTAGACAAGAAAATGAGTGAAGAGAATCAATAGAGTTTTGACAAGTATAAGAGTGAAACAGAATGAGTAACGGTAGAGAGGAATATGAAAGATTACAGAGACTGAATACATCTGCATAAGCCATTGACAACGATTTTGAGCCATGTCACCTGTTGTCTCCAGCCATTGATTCGTACGACATGTGCCTATCATGTATAAAATACTGCACACTATTCATAATTGGTCGGTCGTCACACCTACCTGATGAAGAGATGCAGAAAGTTGTGTGTAATAGAGACGATGCTCAAAGTCTGATAATGACAATGATGTTCGTTCATTACTTTCATCAGTCCATGTGTATCTACCTACAAAACAGTATTAACAAGTTGTGTTTTTTTTTGGCGACATCGGCACCATTCGCTTTCCCGACAGCTTTCAGTGCTCTTCACAGTGTAACATAGTCTCTTTTAAGTAGCTCAGAAAAGATTAAGTTCGGGAGGGGGGTGGGGAGCAATATAGAAGAATATTTGGAATACGAAAGTTAATAGTGTCAAGGTAGAGACTGAGTGTGAAAGCAGAAGGTGGTAGAACGTTCGTCGAAATATCTTTCTAGAGGATAATATAGATGTGGTTAGACCAGGAAAGATCAGAGGTAATACGAAATAATAATAACATAATAATAAAATATTTATTCTGGACAGTATTTATGTAATGTACAGAATTTTCAGAGGAGGTTTACTGCATGATATTTTCCCGTCATACAATATCTCCAAGTAAATCCTTCCTGTGACACACAGTGGTCTCTGAGCTGAAGCACAAACCATTCCATTATGTGATATATATACTTTGTGTCTGCTTCAAGTAATCCACAATATCTGATTGGAAGCCACTTGAAAGATGTTGAGAAGTACATCTTGAGACCCAAGGACATAACTAAAGGCGAGTTATCTCATGTATTGGAGCACATGGGCACTAACAATCATTCCTTTCCTTAAGTTTAGTAGGAACTTGCGAATCAGACAGGAAATTGTAAACATTTTTAATACATACAAAAGTAAATAACATCATTAAAGCTAGACCTTATCTTAATCGATTAAAACAAACCGAACGAGAGGAAATCTGTGCAATAGAGAAAGGGAATTTTTTTAGTGGCCCAAGTTTTAATCAGACTGCTAATCCCGAGGGTATTTAACATTCGACTGAGTTTCAACTTCTATGTCTTCATTAATACTAGAATCATGCGACGAAACTAGTTCATGTGTAATTTCACACCTGTGTGTCTGAAAGTAGAATTACCCACCTGACATTTGGAGGGATATTTAGCTTAAGATCATTTGACAAAAACCCACTAATTTCTGGAACAATCTGATGACTGAGAAGTAACCGCTGGCATAGAAACAGTCAGATCATCGACATACTTAACAAAATTGGTTTCATCGGAGTGTGTAGGGCAAGTTGTGTAAGAAAAAAGAAAACAGAAAAGGAGAAATAACAGCTCCTTGAGGAACACCAGCTAGAGTAACACTTCGCATTATATGCAGTGTACTACTTCCTATCAGAAAAGTAAGAATGCAACCATTTATTGATCAAGCACTGTGCTTGTATCGCAGCAGGCTTGTTTAACAAAAGAGGCCTAGGTACACAGTCGAAGGTAGATGTTGTGATCAAGGAAGGCACCCCGAACATATATATATATATATATATATATAATGCTATCTCACTCAGTAGTGTGGATATGGACTGACAGACTCATAGAGTGTGTGGCGACTTGAACTGCCGCACATATGTGCGAAGTTCTATGTCGGAAACTGACAGATAGACAGAGTTTCTCACCGTCAAACTTTCCACAGAAGTGCAGCAATTCAACTTGCCTTTCTTCACGTACACCACACAAAGCAAGACAAGAGAGTAAAGATAGATTCAAAAGAGAGGTAATAAACAGAAGTGTGCGGAAAATATGGAATAGTAATAGGGAAGAACAGTAGGGTTTTATTGGATATGATAAATCATCACAAAGTGTGAATGCATCTGGGCTATTGAGAACACGGATTTTAAACCATATCACCGATAGTCTTTAGCTATTGGTTCTTAGGATCCTGAAGATCCCAATCAACCAGGAAGTCGTCTACACCTCCATACATGGCTGGCTCAAACTGACTAACTGTCAAAGATTTCATTGACTAATGAAGTTATGTTTTGGTTTGACCAGCACTAGCTGTTTTCAAACCTGATCCTGTGTCAGTTAACAATACTCGTGGAGGAAGGCGATGGATAATGTCTAGGGGTGCGTAACATATACCCTAGCCATCTGAATCGATGTAACTTTACAACCTCGTTGATTGACTTTGCCTCCTTATCTAACATTGGACACCTTACCTCAGTATCACTCACTCTATTGCACCATATAACATAGGAGCTAGAACTCAGACACCTATGCTCAAAAACAGTTAGTCTTTTCATGTTAAAGGATTTCATCATGAGCTGACATTGGTTAGAGAACCATTGGAAAACCTGGGAGTACTGGACAGCTGTTTCGTTCTAGCTTGGGACTCTTCATCAGTACGCACCCACCGGGATTCGAACCCCAGGACCTTCTGGTTACAAGGCGACCTCTTAACACTATTAATTGCAAATCATCCACCTGAGCTACAAATCTTCTCTATTATTTCAAAATCATGATATTGTTGTAAAGTGTAATAACTGAAAACGAGATGCATATTTACGTCGCATTCCTTCAGCAGTCGAAAATCCTCTCCACTATTTAGAAGTTTGTCGTTGTTTTCAGTATTTGGTGGAAAAGAGCTAATGACGGTCAAACCAGAAAAACTCTTGACAAGTCCATGAAATCTTTGACAGTTAATCAGTTTGAGCTAGCCACATAGAGAGGTGTACAGACTGCTTGGCGGGTGGCGGGTTGGGGTCTTCGGCATCCTGACAACCAATAGCCGGAAACAACTGGTGGATATGGCACTACATCGTTCTCAATCATGGCTCAGATGCATTCGCTCTTTTTGATCTGCCATGTGCTACTATTCTTTCTTCCTCATATTTCTGCTTATTTTACTGTTCTTTCAAATCCGTTTTGTCTATCCTTTGTCTTCGGTTGTGTTGTATACAAAGTGTGGCAATTAAAACTTCTGCACTGCTGTGCGAACATTGAGACCAGTGAGTCAGTCAGTTCAGTGTCATACTTTTATTTTCATTGGACAATAGTAACTAGTGTGACGTGTCTGGTCATTTCCTTGGTGCAGACTGAATACTATCAGTCAGGTTTGCAATGTGACCACCATTCTAGGTAGCCCGCCAGGGTTGCAGATACGCCTTGCTGACGAGTGACAACTAGCACGAAACCTAGGTCCAAGGCTTCCTGCAGATTGCCTCCAACTATCTAATATCATACTTTTATTTTATAATAAACAAGATGTCCAAATAATTTCTCATTACTTACAACAGTTGAATCCTTTTTTTTTCTTTTGTTTTTTTCCAGGCCAACAAATTACAATCATCTTTTAAACATTGTTACTTCGGAGATTTGTCGAGAGTTGAACTTGAAAACCGATGCTGTTATGTTCAATATACATCAACAACAACAACAACAGGAAGGAGAAGAAATGAATAAATCAAAGCGTATTGGTGGTGGACGACAACTAAACGAAATCACTTCATCATTAGCATCATCGTCATCTCGTTTCTCTCGTCTAGTCCAATGGACATTAGGCAAAAAATCTTGGCTTGATCGTATCCTAGACCTGGAATTACGTTTAGACGAACCTACTTGGCTTTCATATGTACCAGAAGAACGTGAAATTAAAGTAAAGCTAGCTGATGAATTATGGGAAGATGTACTCAATGATGCTGTGTGCTCAGTGATTGCTTTAAATTCATGTAAATCATAGTTAAGTGAACTTTCAGCCAATATTTACTTACATACTTACTTACTTACTGCATCTCTAATCTGTGCCTTTTTCTTGGGATCATTCGACTAGATCATCAGATCATTATTATCATCATCATTTCTCCGTGTCTCTCAAATATCTAACTAACTAACGAACTAATTACCTGTGATATTACATTATACATACATATATATATCTGTACATACTATGTTTGTTCAGAAGGATGAACTGCAGACGGGCGGCCGGGTGGCTGGGATGGTGGTTATGCTAGTGGGTGAACACTTTTCAACGATCTCATTTCGCTAATATGCCTTATGTTGGAATGTTTGTCGCTCTGTGTGTGTGAATACAGTTCAGAGTAAACTCTTACGTTTTTAGCTTTCAATTTTTAGTTTTTTTAAAAGAAGTTTATTCTGCCTTTTCTCGTATTCTACCTCCAAGATGGAAATGTTTGTGTATGTGAAAATGAATACAAAAAAACTCTCAGAGAACGACCGCAGCAGCAACAGTTTATGGTGAAAAAAGCATATTTTGTTTTCTCTTTGCTGTTGCCGTTGTTCTCTTGTGACTCCTGTTTTTATTATGATTATTATTTTGTTTCTTTTGAGTTGTTCTATTTAAGTTTTTATTTTTGTTTCTATCACAATCACTTTTAGGCGCATTCTTTAAACCACAAGGAGAGATAATTTTTATGTACTCCCCCCCCTGGTGTACTACTGCACTATAATGCGCGGTACTTGTGTGTCTCACAGTGTTGTGTCTTGTGTATGTCTACGTGTATCCTTCCAATGGTAACTTACTTGCACATACATTAGTTTGTTAAATATATTTTCTATTTATTTATTTGTTTATTTATTTAGTTTGTTTTTATTTGAAAAGAAAAATTTTTTTTATCATTATTGTTACTTTGTTTTTGGTGCTGTGCATTTGCTTTAGTGTCTTCCCTCTGTAATTTTTTAATATATACACTGGTGCGTTCTTCCATTTTTCAGTTTCTCTTTTTTCAAAATTTCAGCATTGTTGTTGTACATCACATCACAGTGTGTTATCCTTGATTATTATTATTATACGAATATGTATATGACCAACCTCCTTGTCCGTCTCTGTTTGTGTGTGGCTGTGTCGTCTCTTCTTTACTGAGTTGGTGTTTTGATGGTTGTATTGACTGACACCTCTGTATTTGTGTGTATAGAACAGAGAAAAGAAATAAATGCGAATATGTATCATTATTATTATCATTATATTATTGTGCTATATCTATATATATTGTTTATTCCTTAAGATACAAAATACAAAATATATAATTAGTAGTGATAATTTAATATTATTATTGTTGTTCCTTTGGGTTCCTAGTGGAACATAAGGCTTCAACTGCTTCAACGTCTCCACTTGCTTCTGTCTTTTGCTGTACTTTTCACCTGCATCCATGTTAATCCATACTGTTTCAACTCCTCTTCTTCATACGATCTCCTCCATGTCACCCTAGCATTGACGTCCCACTCGGCGCTTCCCTTTCGGCGGGTTCCACTCGAGCTATGGCCTGACGCACGATGTCACCCAGCGGCCTCCTCAGCTCAGTGAGTGTCCAATCCATCTCCACTTTCTCCTGCATATTTGTTCGGCGATTGGTTCTTGTTTTGTTTGTTCCCATAGTTTCTTGTTGTTGGTGATTCTTTCCGGCCATCTGATCTTGAGTACACAGCGAAGACAGTTAGTTGTTGATAAAGGTGTGCAACAGGCTGTTGGAAATATTTTTTGTGACACACTGGTCAAGTTTCTGATCCGTAAGGAAGAAGAAGTGACTTGACGTCGTTTGTATTGAAAATCGAAATTTTGTTGTTGATGGTGAGTTGAGTGACGAAGATTTCCAGATTGGTTTCAGGTTGATGAATGTGTTTCTCGCCTTCCCGATTCTCGATTTGACATCCTCGTTCGTTCCTTCTGTAGTTGAGACAATGCTCCCTAGATAAGTGAATGAAGTTACCTCTTTCAAATCCCTCCTGTTGATGGTGATTGGCGCTGGATGTTGTTGCTGCTGTTGTTGTTGGTTGGTTGGTTATTTTCATAACCTCCGTCTTGTCTATGTTCACCTGGAGTCCTGTCTTTGGTGCCAGTCTCTTCGACCATTTTGTCGGTTTTCGCTTGTAAGTCTTTGATTTTGTGTGACATCAAACATAAATCATCCACGCGCGAAATCTAGGTCTTCTAGGTTCTTCATGTCGGTCCAGGATATCCCTGTCTTCTCGTTTCCCACTGTCTGACGCATAATCCAGTCTACCAGCACAATTAGGAATATAATTGGTGATAATAAGCACCCTTGTCTGACTCCTGTGTTTACTCCAAACGCCTCGCTGAGTTTTCCGTTATAGATCACTTGACATGTGCCGTTGTCGTACACAAATATATATATATATACATCAGTCATCTTTTAGACTTTTTCAATAATTTTCTTTTCGACGATTCATTTTCATGAGCTGCTGTACAGTAATCGTGATTAATATTAAACAAAGAAATCTTTAGACCAATCAGATACTGGTAAATTTTGTCCTTGGAAAATTGTATTACATAATGTAAGGGGTAATCTAGAAGGGATGACTAATTGTATGTAAGTTAGAAAGGAGACAGAAGTTGGTATGACGTAATAAGTGTGAGATAGTGACCAACTGATCAATAAGCTCGTGTAGAACGGACAGGAACTAGTGGAAATGCTATAAAGTGTTTTTGTATAAAATCTGTATGAAAAAGTAATGTTATTACTAAACAGTAATAGAGTGGTAATAAAATTTGTATGATGCATCCAAAAGCGATACATACATTCTCTTGCCCTACCATGGCCCGAGTAAATTTCTTACCACAATTTGGCTTCTTTCCTTTATTATGTAAGTTCACTATTATTATTATTTTATTAATACTTTTATTGTCATTATTATTCCCATCATCCACATTCTATTACTGTTTAGTAATAACATTGCTTCTTCATACTGATTTTATGTAAAAACACTTTATAGCCTTTCCACTAGTTCCTGTTCACGAGCTTATTGATTAGTTGGTCATTATCTCACACTTATTACGTCATGCCAACTTCTGTCTCTTTTCCAACTTACAATTAGTCATCCCTTCTTACACCTTACATCATGTTATACAATTTTTTAAGGACAAAAATTTACCAGTATCTGATTGGTCTACAGATTTCTTTGTTAATTATAATTACGATTGTACGGCAGCTTATGAAAATGAATCGTCGGAAAGAAAATTTTCTTCACTGTTTATACCTTTTGCTTATGACTCAATATGGAACTATTTCGTTCATTAATTTAATGATTCAAGTGTTAGTTTGTAGGGATTTGGTTGATTGATTAGAGGATTTCATCATGAGCTGACATTAGTTAGAGAACCATTGGAGAACCTGCATGGGGTACTGGACAGCCAGCTGTTTCGTCCTAGTTTGGGTCTACGAGCTCACCTTGTAATCAAAGGTCCTGGGTTTGAACCCCGGTGGGTACGTACTCTGAAGAGTCACTCCTAAACTAGGACGAAACAGCTTTCCAATACAAATTGCAGCGTTTCTTTCAGTGATCGACTGCTACTGAAGATATTTAATGGTATAAAAGTTTTGAGTAGGATCGAAAAGATGCTTAAAGTGGAATCGCTGTCGGCATGAAATATTCACCATTGGACTAGAAGGAGATTTGGCAAGCATAATTGTCTCATACATAGACGTAATTTAATAATTCCCATTGTAGCATTAAGAACAGAATATCTTCAGCGAAGAGACTCTTTTCAAGAATGAATTTATTATCAAGCTGTACAATCGTATATGTATGGTTTTTTTCTTAAGAAATTATATCCGATGAGGGAATTAGGTCAAAGGTGTGAATATATGAAATAATAATAATAATAGTAGTATGAAATGCAATTAAAATATTTGTGATTATAATCACAGTTAAATGTCAAGTGGCAAAATAATTAATGTCAGTAGGACGCAGAGATCGGTTTTCTGCATTCGGACGACAACAAGTCGGTAGGTTTCGTTCGTGAAAGTGTTGTTTAAAATACAAAATAATTGTTAAGACGTGTATGTCAGTGAGTGTGAAAATTCATCATGTGTTCTAGAATAAGAACAAACATGCCTTTTTCTTTATCCCACAGAACTGCATAAATTATCAGAAAGAAAAATCAATTCACACCCAGTTTACAATGCACAATCAATGCTTGTCGTAAATTTTAGGTGTTAAAAAGAACAGAAATAAATTGTGAGAAGATATTTCCTCGTAAAAAAATCAATAATTCGCAAAATGGGATTTTAAAATGTGTAAACATACAGTACTACTATTACATTTTGTCAGTAATGTGATGTTTTACCCCCAATTAAAAAATGAGTACTGTTTTATGGGAGGCCTAGTAATCAAAAACAGCGACATATCATACTGGATGCTGAGCCGAAAGGAAATGAATGAGAATAGCTATTTATCATTACCAAATGTGATCAGAATATCATGAGTAAAGTTACTCAGGCAACCGAAGCAACTTTGTTAGCGAAGATGTTCTTTTAACGCATAATTACTTGGATTAGATCCCTAGAGGAATCTTGTGTTAGGGAATAACGGTTGTATGTTACCTTTTGATTTTTTTTCGGTGTTTCTATCAGAATAGTGGGGTATGAGAATCGATATGTAGACCATCAACTGATTCTGTCTTGTTAAAATAATTTAATAATTCCCATCGTAGCATTAAGAACAGAATATCTTCAGCGAAGAGACTCTTTTCAACAACGAATTTATTGTCAAGCTGTACAATCGTATATACACATGTGGTTTTTAAGAAATTATATCCAGTGAGGGAATTAGATCAAAGGTGTGAATACATGAAATAATAATAGTGGTATGAAATGCAGTTAAAATATTTGTGATTATATTCATAGTTTAATGTCAAGTGGCAAAATAATTAATGTCAAATATAGAATAATTCATAGGGTATGTAGATATTGTTGTAAGGGGGTA